GAGATAATATCTTGTTAACAAACAAAAACCAAGAGAGCAGATCAGTGTGTAGTCTTCTTGTCACTCTATCCTTCCCGATGGCTAGATAAGGTGCACAGACCCAGCTGAGTCATTCCAGTCCAGTAGACTGTGTATACATAAACTGTGTATTGTGTATTTAGTTACTTTTTAACAATCATACAAACGATCTAAATGATCTAAACTTTAAATATAATTTAGTTTTCTTCACAGACAAACTAAATGCTAAGATATAGGCCTACTGTCTATATGTTTACCTGCAGGTTGGGAACCAATGCTGTAAAATACTGCACTAAGTTTGCTTTAAGACCAAATTCCTACAAAACTAATGACATTCAAATAACCCCCAGCTGTAGGTTATGTTTTGCACTAATTTAGCATGTTAACTTGCTGAACTAAGATTGTGAACATGGTCCTGCTAAACATCATGTTCCTCAGCATGTATACATTGTCATTGTGAACGTGTTAACGTGCAGATGTTAGCATTTAGCTCAAAGCACCGCCTACAGCCTCACAGAGATGTTAGCACGGCTGTAGACTGTGTGTGTGTGTGTTTGTGTAGTCTTAACAGAGGTTCATACAACACCAAGAAACACACACAAACACACACAAATACTCAGAGGATCAGGCCCAAGCACTTGTAATACAGAGCTGTTTGTGTTCGAACGTGGTCGACCATGACAGTGGTTTGTTGTGTAATTGTGGTTGAGTGGCTGTTGTCTATGGAGGAATGCTTCGTAGCTCTCTGTCTCCAGCACCTCCAGCAGGCACAGAGGTAATACAAGTGAGCATGAGCAGCCAAACCTACTTGCTTTCAATGAGCCGCGCCCAGATACTCACACAAACACTGCTGTCCTGCAGGATATAGGAGCAGTAATTAGCAATCCCTGGCAAAGTCAGTTTTCTCATACTCGCTCATGTTCTAGCACGCTGGTGGCAGATACCTCAGCTGCTAACATACTTGCCATTCACCTGCGAGACACACAAACACACACACACACACACTCAGTCATCTTTCTGTTGCTTCCACCTGTGCTGCACAGTTTGGACAGAAAATTAGAGCTCAGCTGTCTGAAGGGGATTAGCCGCAGCGTCCGAGAGGTGTGATGTTGTGCTGTTGAACGTCAGCGTTCTAATGTCTAATCTTGAACGCCACACCCACCAACAACAGACACACCTACAAATATATATTAAACCTCTTATTCAGCCTAGTGTTTGCATGTCACACGAGTAAGTGCACATACGTTCTGCCGGTGGCAGTCTCATAGTCGGGGCTGACTGCAGAGTTTATTTAGACTCACTCCCACATTGTGCCTTGCAGATTTCACCAAGGCTACTATTGTACACTACCTCCTAATTTACCACCAGCTTGCTCCCAGTGCAGAGATCTACTGCTGTTATTTGGGGAGTCAACTAGTTATTTACAGTGAGAGAGAACATTGTGAAACGCAGAGAGGAGGAAAATAACCAGGAACTTCTCACAGTCTCGTCAAAGTCGAGCCTTATTGTGGAGCGCTGTCTCATACAGAAGCAATTCAAAGTGCTTTAGAGAATCCACTTTAAATACTTAGTATGTTTTTGACCTTTTTAAATGACATGTGTATTCACATATAGTTTACATGATCGGAGAGATTAATGAGGGTCTGGTTTATTGCAGACAGAGGATAACTGCACACAGCCAGGACCGGAGTAGTGGCATGTTTTCCTCCCTGGTTGTTGTTGTGTCTGCAACAGGAAGTTGTCCGACCTTGTAACTGGGTTTTGTCCAATGGGAGGACAGCATGGAGGAAGCCGATGTATAGAGAAGTCAGGTCACAGTGAACTGTTGACAGGGTTCATCAGCAGCTGAAGACGTCCCCTCAGGTCGTGTTGGACTGCTAATGAATTTAAATTGCATGTTTCTTCTGCTCCATCGAACAGATCTGTTATTTAAGAACAATTCAGTTCCCAAAAGGGAGGAATTTGACCATGGCCTCCTTCTATACATCCACCATTATAATGCTGTTGGTTATTGTGTACGTAGATGGAGAATATCTTGGCAAACAGATGATCGGTAACACTTCTATGTAGCATTTATAAACAGCCTATAAATATGAACACTTTCTAATGTTGTAAGCACATATGTAGTAATGAATGCATGTGTCCGTAACTATAACTATTCCTGTGAGCCTCAGACTGATGATGTTTAGACTGATATAAACAGATAATGAATAAGAGAAAAACTGTTGTAATAGTATAAAATATTAGGACAAGTTATTGGAGGTAGAAATGGGGTGTAAAGCAGGAACCTTTCTGTTTTTATTATTGGGTGATGATGGCTCTGATTGACAGTCCAGTCTCTATGAGTCTTCTACCTGATGTCTCCTTTATGATCTGTAGGTACAAGCATGGACACAAAGGATACATATCTAAAGATGTGTAGCTTTCATTTTTTTCGTGTTAAATTTAAAGGAATAGTTAGGAATAGGAATAGGCTTTTTCACTTACTGGCAGAGTTAGATGAGAAGAATGATGGCACAATGATATCTGTCCCCTTTTATCTCGATTTAAAACACTTTGCAAGGAGGAAACAGTTGTTGGAGCTCACACAATGAATTGTGGTGACTAACACTGATTGTAAACATCACTTTTGTTTGTTTATAAGAAAACTCCTCAAGGTGCAGTAAAGGTGGTGTTGCCTTCAGGCTCTCCTTCTGTCTTGGCAGTTTACAGTACAGGGCTCCCACGGTCCTGGAGAATCTGGAAAACCTGGAAATTTAGAAACTAGTTTTGCAGTCATGGAAACACCTGGAAATTGATCTAAATGACCAAATATTTAGTTTGAAACTCGACTGTGGGATAGATAATGTGTGTGCCGTGACAATTCAAAGTGGGTTTACCAGGCGCTTTTTCATTTCTGCTCCCGTGTCAGTGAAGAGCTGTTCACACCGTTTGCAGCCTGTTGTTCTGATCAAATTTACATTCATTGTTATGGTTGATATTATTAATTGTGCAATGATCTTTCTACCTCTTCTTTTAATCGGCTGATTTTCTGTAAAATAAAATAAATTCTACTTGATTTGAACTGTTATTTATGCTCCGCTGAGGCTGCAGCAGGAACTGTGGTGAGGACAGTGCCACAAAAATGTGTGTCCCATAAACTCTGACCACCATTGAAATGCTGAAAAAGTCCTGGAAAAAGTCCTAGAAAAGTCCTGAAAAATGATTTCTTAAAAAGAGTGGGAGAGAGACTTTACACAGTTAAAAATGATTTGTATCTGCGCGTTATTATCAGAGAGGATTCTGTCCAAATGTTTGCGCATCCTCTCTCTGATGAATGACATCCATTGTGGATGAACAGGACTGGCTGACACAGATTCCTGCCTCGGTAACAGAGCGGATGTGTGGGACAGGGCATCAGTGTTTGTGGGACACACGGTCCAGTTGTGTGCTGAAGGAAAATTGGGCAGCGACGTGGAGAAAACAGCCCCGTGGGCAGAGAGCAGTGCAGACTCTGTAGGTTTCTGTGTCGACTGACGTGGAGCCACAGTGTGCCAGAGGCTGAAACTGTACAGTGCTATTTCTTTTAACTGTCCATTATGAGTTGACAGTGTTATGTGAGTGCAATAATAAACCAATGCTGTACTTTTTAAAGCATGTATGTGTATTTTCACTGCATGAATTCAGTCATATTAAGTTTTTTACACATTGATTGACTCTGTTGAACACTGATGACTCTTTGCTCTGCTTTCTTGATGGGAAGATAGATTCCTACAGATATTAGCATTTTTTATGTTCATATTTATTCTATTTAGAGCTGTGTACACTAGTGGGCAGTGAGTCTGGAAGGCCACGGGTTTGATGTCCAAAATAGAGGACACATATTCTTTTATCTGTGTATGTAAAATACATGTTTTTATAGTTTATTATACGTTCAGTTCACGTTTAGATTTGGTTATTTTAGTTATTTAATCTGTATTTTTGTATTTATTAAATTTTTTTAAAGAGTTAAATGGGGATTTAAAATTTAAATCAGTTTGTTAGTGCTTGAAAACAGTCGTATATCCTCTGTTGCTCTGGAGGAGGAAAAATAATCCTGTTCTGGAGCCTTCTATTATCACATGATCTTCATCAGATGATGAGTATCATGGAATTAAAGTTCAGTATTCAAGTTATGTTAGGGAACTTGTTTTTTTAAGCTTTATGCATTAGTTTCTATTGTTTCACTGTTCTTATTTATTTTCTTATTTTGCCTTTTTTGTTAGTCAGTTTGCATTCGAGCCCTTTGTAGTGCACATAAAACTGTCTAAAGGTAAAGGAAAAAGATGTGATGTCAGATTTTTGGGTCCTCCGTGTTGAGATAATCTGTGACTGTATTAATACAAGTTCATATAATGGTAATGAAAGCAGCTCTGTGTAATAAACAGTATTCTCTCTCTCTCTCT